ATAGAAAGTAGAGAAATAAAGGAGAAAAAGTATAAATCTCAAAGAATTTTGATTGGCTAAATTATATCTACTTGGAATAAATAAGTATAAAAGTATAAAAAGTATAAGAGTACAAAGTAGAAAAAGTATAAAAGTATAAAAAGTATAAGAGTACAAGGTATAAAAATAAAAATATATGAATACTATAATTAATAATATATAAGAAAATTGTGAAATGTTCTAATAAGTTCTTTATATGATTTTCATAATTTCATGAAATATTACAAATTATGGAATTAACGAATTTTATAACATAATTGTAACAATATCGATATGGTAAGTATGATAAATGAAAACTGAACAATCATTTTTTCTAAATTACGCCACATTCACACTTACGGGTTGCTAAAAAATTTAAAAAAAATCAAAATCTCATCGGTTAGAAGATAGAAATAATTTTTTTAACCGAAAATATTGATGGATTAAAATAAATTACTTTCATTCAAAATTTTCTCCATCATAAGGAATTCGTACTATGGTGCATAAAATACAAACGTTATGACTTTAGATTTTATGCACCAGTGATCCGTTTCTTTGTGAGCTACACTGAGCAGGATTTTTATATAATCAGGGATTGAGGATAATGTATCAATAGTAATTAATATATGCAAAGTTTAAAGCCACAAGAAAAAGAAATATCATTCTCAAAATAGCACCAGAATACATGTAGTATTACTGTATAAAAATATTTTAAAGAGGTATCGTATCATTAGCTAGGTAAAGTATTCACATGCACCATTTTTATCCAATTCTAATACGTTCAAACCACCACGTTATATTGAAGACATCGGGATAGGGGAAATAATCTTCACTATATCAGTTGAAGTTTATTCATGAGAATTCACTATATTGTAATAACCAACGATGTCTATTATAGCATATGTTGTGCTCTCCAACGTTTACCATTTTTTTACAAGAGCAAATCTTACGATATTACTATATAAACTATTCATTACACATACCAATACGTACAATGAAATTGTTATATTCTAATCAAGTATTCATGCTCGAGATATAAATCTGGATCTTCCAACCATTTATCGTTATCAATATCCATGGTTAAATAAAGACGATAATCTTTATTTTTGGATTTATATAAAGAGAAAAGACATATACAGAGAGAGCTCCCTCTATAAATGCACGTTATGGCTCAGTTCCAAACTTATAAGACCTCTCTAATTATTTACTCTCTATGAATGCCCACTGTCTTTTTTTTTAATATGGTCCAAGAGGTGCACTTAGCGAGGTTTCTCTGTATTTTATTATAAAAATTTTTGTTATTGGAGAATGATTTCCAATTTGAAATAACATTTACTTAGATGAATTGCACTTGATCGCTACACACACTTTTAAAAAATGAAAGCCCAATATGGACGAAAACTTTGTACAGATACAAGATAAAAAATAGAGTATGCGCATTTCGATTTAGTTGTTTTAGTTCTTTGGAAGCTATTTGAGATAAAGATTTAACATGTTTATGTAAATGGAAAAGAAGTTACATTTGTTAAATAAATAATCTAAGTTTTTAAAGTTTAATTTTGTATTCTTTGATAGTGACAATAACAAGGTGTAAAGCCAAAAGCATTGAGAGCTGTATTCACTTTATTCTCGTGAAGTTTTTTGTTATTAGCACGTTAACAGTTATATAAAATATTGATATAGCGATATCGTTTTCTTTTTTCCTTCGTACTCTAAGTTACCCTATAATTTTGCGTTAGATGTACGCATACCATTTCAAGATTTTTTTCATTGAGCTACTTGGTACAAGGTAAGCTCACTCGTTAAGACGCACTAAACTGAAGTTTCATAAAATGATGGTTTATTAGTTACCCACGATTTAGTCATAATATTTTTTAACGTTAAATATCGGGGTCATTTTTAGGATTAGGACTACGTACATCTACGTATCGATATACGTACGTATGTGAAATTGCACAGTCACATGCGGAATGCCTAATCGGTGATCATTCGGCAACGCCAGATAGGATAAGATTTTAAACTATTCTGTATTTTGTTGTCTTGCCAAACTATTGAAAATACGTAATGAAGTAATTGGATTATCACATGATCTGTGAAAAGATTGGACGATTACAAACTTATCGTTATGAAGATTCTGGGATTAACGTTAATAAAAAATGAATATTTGTACGTATACTGTACCAACTGAAACGAACTCGAGTTGATTCTGAAACAAATGGTGACGATTTTGACCTACATAATGGTTGGGATTTTATTGAAAATATGGAATGGATCGAATGTGCTAAGAAAGATAAACGACGATATAAAACATTCTACAAGTTACTTTCTTCTCCCCGAAAAAGTACAAATGTATTATTGACGTATTTACCAAATCACATTATTTCGGTAACATCTGCTAATACAAACGATTTGCACACATTACACAGGAATTGCGACGTCCTTTTCAAAAACTTATTAATAATTTTCGACGTTGATAGGTAACTAAATTATTTAAATATTATATATTATATATTATACAAAATGTTTATTTAATTACATGTATAATAACAATATATTTTTTATCTTGATTAATACAGTATTTATTTATAAGAGAGAACATAGATCGCACATATAAATTATCAATAAAACATGGTAAAAATTGAATTTTCTCTTTATATTAAATTTTTCATTTACTTTAATAATTAATATTTATTTATTAATGCTTGATATTTATAACTGGAATAACAATTTTATTGATTTCAAGAAATTTATTAAATTTATTTTTTATTGTCCAATTTAAAGCAATCAGTTATTAATATGAATTTGCTTTATTTCAATATACATGTTCTAAAAATCGGATTGTATGATGCATCCGGGGGCTTAGGCGCTGAAAATTTTGCAGATCATTACATGTACTTATAAAATTGAATGTGACTGGTCAGATTTATAAGTGTGATTATTTTTTGAAAAATGCATTATTTAAATCGTATCTTCTCAATAAAAATAGAGAAAAGTTCATATAAAAATTCTTTGCAATTCAAAGTATTTGATGTGACTAAGTTGGCGCACTATACATTTTATGTGTTCTAGCTCAAATCTGGAACTGGCCATTTCTGAAATGAGCCAATCAGTATCTGGCCTGTCTAAGAATTTTCACTTGAACCGGCCATGTTTGGATTTATTATAGTGATAAATAACACATTACTATTTTCAGGTTATTAGTGAGAAATTCAGTTTATCATAGTTCACAGATCACATCATTTACAATGCATTTACTATTAGGAATGTTCACAGTTTGGGACCATAGTTTAAAGCATAGTAATCGATTCTCTAGAATCGATTAATTTAGAATCGATACTTAGAATCGATCGTCGTCATTATTACTGTTCGTCGTCATTTGTACTCGAAAATCGATTTTGGGTTGAGAATCGATTCTCAAATTGAATCGAAATTACATGTATTAATTAATTCCTATCCCTAATCTCTGGTCATTAATATCTTAATTTATTAGACTAATGACATTCTTAAAAAGAATAAATCACAACACGATTTTGTATTTAAAATCGTAACAGAGGCAATTCTTTCTTGTATCTCGTGTTTTTTACATTCTAAAGCTGCAATCACTACGTAGTTAATTCAAAAAATGTTAACTTGTTTCCGTTGAAAATTCCTTAATGAATACTTAAACTCGATGTCTTCTAATCGTCATGAAAAAGTTTTGATCACACAAGTGATAGCAGACAAGATTAAGAAGTTTTTATCGAATTCAGAATCTAATAATTATCTCTTCTCGACATTGGTGATCAATATACGTACATATAATCGATAAACAAACATTAAAATGAATAGCTTGCGCTTGTATAATATCGATATCATTAGCGTGACCCACCTTTAATATTGTGTTACTAATATTGTCTTGATTTTAAAAGGTTCATTAATAAAAAAATATTTGGACACGAAGTATTTAAGGCATAATTGAAAGACGGAAAAAAAGTCACCTTGAAGATTAGTTAGCATTTATGTTTTTTAAATGTAACTTTAATCATGACACAAAGATTAGACTTTATGGAATCATTAAAGGTAAAAAAATAAAAGTTCTATCTTTTTAAAATTGAATTTAAGTTTAAATAAATCTCGGATTCATGATATTCGAAACCTTTCTAATCATTCACAGCATTAAAATCTATGTTTGTCCAGCTTTCTAAAAGATCTGGATAATTTTCTACGAGCGAAAGAATCTGATATTTTCAGCGTTGGAGTTCTGTTATGGGTGGTTTCTAGCGGTCGCACTCCATCCAATAAATATGATACAAAATTATTCTTGAGAAAGAATTGAACGCCTCCTGAATATGTCGAACTCTATTAACAATATTGAGACAACACGAGCAAATCGTCCAAGTATAGATAAGTAAATTTTAAAAGAAATAGTTTGGTCAACGCCAGAATCTCTTGAAGTTTACCATCACCAAATACAAGAAAATCAAATAAGATTTTTTGACTTTCCGATAAAGTCATTAGGTTTGGTGAAGTTTATTGAGCAGAAGTGAAAAACGAAGAAAAGTGTCTTGTCTAGTATCATAGAGGTATTTATCATATATTAAATTTAAACATAATTCGCTTTTACAGAATCACTAAAGGTACGTGTATATACATAGTTATAGCTTTATAATCAAATCTATAATAGCGCTCAAACGACTTTTATTTAGAATACGATACACAAAAATACTTGATTGTTATGAAGTATGCCATGACGGAATTCTCGAAAATTACTTGAAAGAAACTTTTTCCAGATTTACTATTTCATAAAAAGTTTAATTAGACTATTTGAAGTTGTCTATTAAATAGAAAGATAGATAATTGCAGATTAGATTTTAGTAAGGTGAGTTTTTCATAACTTGATATACTATCATGTCTAGCGGAATGTTCGAAAAGGTTTTTAAGTTTCTTACTACTTGTATTTACAAAGTAAGTGTTTTGGCTTCATTTGCGATTAATCAAGACTTTTAAGAGATAATGCCTGTATTGGTCGGGGTGGGTTCATCAGTTTTAGTCTTATCAGTATTGGTCGTAGATGTCTTGATTCCTTCGTCAGCAGGTTCAACAATCTGATATTTAATGTTCAGCTCTTTACACATATATTCCACTGCTTCGTTTTGCACAGACGTTAATGCGCTGCGACGCCATTCTACATAGTCTCCAACCGCATATGCATTGTATCCTTTCGGATAGCCATTTATAAAAGCTTTTCATCTCCGCCGCCACAGGTTTACTATTAATTTCACTTGGATTCGACCAAACGTTCTGAAAAATTTCCAATACGTTCTTACGATTATCGAGATACCTGGTCCACTTGGTCCCTCGGTCTCCTTGAATGCCCTCCAAGTTTAATAATTCCCACTGTTCTAGAGATCAAACACAAAATATTCACAGTGAAAGCAAATAAGTTTTTACTAACCAAAGACACCTCTAAGGTGTACAGCTCCTTTTAATCTGAGATAACTTAGATTCAAATAACCCTGAGGAGGTAATATGGATGAAAACTCATTATCGCTGAAAAAATTTCAACCACAACTCACCATATCGCAATTTCAATCTCTTTGTCTTTGATCAGAGAATTCTTTTTTTCGATCTCGATCGCAATTGCAACCTCTTTGTCTTTGATCTTGCTGAGAGAATTCATTCTTTCGATTTCGAAAAGCAACTTGACTCTTTGGAGTTTTTCTGCAGATACATATTTTCCCAAGAGCCAGTCCAAGTTACTATCTTTAGTGACAGAGACGAGCTGACGAGAATAGTAAGACAATACGGGTTGACGAGAGGTGGGCAAGTAAGATGTAAATAGGCCTTTGCTCAGTAATAGCGGTACATGGTTTACAAGTAGATATTATCGTTGTTGATGATCACTTCTCAAATACATGTACGTATATGTTCACTCTGATAGATTACCGTTACGCAGAATACGTACATGTATATGGCACAAACCAAGTACCCTAGCCATGGCAAAACAAAAGGGTCTGATCACGTGCTGATTGTGGCACAAACCAATATAATGCGTAATTTTTTGATCAGCCGGCAAAACAAATCCGACGCAAGAAAATGAAAAAAGCAAAAAAAGTAAAAAATACGGGAAATGGATGCCTAAATCCAGCTTGGTACACTAAAAAAAAGAGTTGGAAAGACAATTTTACATATAATCTTGACCCAAACTCTAACCCTAACCCTAACCTTTAAATTAACCTTTAACAATAACCTATATTACCGTAAAATTTTTCCGGACATACGCAAATATCACATGATCCGACCCTTTTTTTGCCATGGCTAGGGTACTAGCACAAACCACAATGCACTGTGTCAGGTTAGCTGTGGATGCTGTGCTCGGGCACTCCTCAATTCTGTGCCAGGCCAGGTCCATGTTGATCGTGTGGCTAGATTGTATTACGTATTTATGGCTGATAAGTAACCAATAACGATAAATTTAATAATAACGATACCGTTAGTACGTATTAGAGATTTGCATCAACAACTGCAACATGCAGGTTATCGTTATTATAAGACATATCGATATAAAGCTGCAAGTAACAAAATTAACTAGCATTACTATCAATATTTATTAATAAATCATTTTTCTTTGAAGTTTCTTGTTTAGTATAGTTGAATGTCATGCAAAAATATGTAGCATATCGATATCGATATGTGCAAATCATCGTTTACTAACGCTAACACCAGTTGTTATCGTTATAAGATTAATACATGTTTTGTATTAGAATTCATGTCTCATTTGCAAGTGATGTATGTTTGTAATTTTAATCCTTTGATTAATTGATTATTGATGTATTTTATCACAGACATGGATTGCACATGGAAAAGATCCTTTTACTCGGTTATTATGAGCTTGTCCACTTATTACATGTACGTAGTAAAGAAGCAAAATGTGTAACAGGCTTCTTATTTATAATTTGATGCACCAGTAATACTCTCAGACAACAAAAAATAATTTGTAATAAAAGAGACTGCTACACAAAATATCAACAGTAGACCACAATCTCAAGAACTAATTAAAAAAGGAAAAAATGTATTAGAGATAAAGTTATCAGCCTGGCTTGAAGTACAGGACTGCCCTTTGTAATTTATAAGTATTGTTAAAAGATGATGTCTTAGTAACCCCAAATTGATAATTGACGAAGATATTATAGTCAAGTATAATAGAAATTACTCAATTAATATTTTCTTATCGGTCTTAAAGAATAGCATGTTAAAGTCAAATATAACGTGTGTTTACAAATTTACGGAAAAAAAATACATAGTTAAAGCTTAACAAGAATATTAGATTGGCTAAAAAAAAACTCAATCAAATTATTTAATGACATAAGATAAGGGGAGGCAAAAAAGGAAAGAAATTTATCTATTTTATCAAGATATCCGGTCAAAGCTTACGTATTGCAAATCGAGACATATTAATTATGCAGAAATTTACATTGGAAATTGAACAAATCTTCTGACAAAAAGCTAAATATTAATAAATAACGATAACGATAAGATTTATCTGGCATTCAAAATAAATTCGTACATGAGTAGAGATTAGAACCAGGTTCAGTTCACCCGGGTTCCACGTGAAGTTTTTAGACACGGTTCAAATACCTCCTTTTAATAGAATTAAACGATTGAATAAAGTATTGCAGCGTAAGTGCAATAAAAGTTGTAACCCACTATGAAGTAAGAAAATTTCAATTGTAACATAGATCGCAATTTAACATTGACAATAAAAATCCAATATCGATATCTTTAAAATTTCAAGTCAATAGCCAAGGAAAATATTGCAAACAACTGAAGATAGAAGATCACAGAATGCTTGCTGCTGTTCGAAAATGGTCTAGAGCATTATGGATCACTGAAACATCTGCACACGGCAGTTGAACGACATCTAAATTGTCATACGATAAATTTTATCTCTGTGACCTTTTGAGTGTGAGATGTTTTTTCACAATACATCCATAAATCGACTTTAGAGTGGGAAAACAAAATTTATACTGAGAATTTCCTAACGATAAGATTTTGTCATGTTTGCAAGCATTATGTCAATGCCTGCTGGCATTAGAAATCTGGTCATTAGAAGCAACTTCATCGCATGTAGTGACATGTTAATGAAATAACTTGAGTTATAGACGTACGTACATGTAATTAGGTAATTAGTATGACGCAAGAAATGTTTGCATCTCAGTGACAACTAAGACTAATGAATAAATATAAATTGTCCCGTTTAATGTGTAACGAAGCAACAGAATTTTTCGTCAAGATAGCGATAACGATGATAGAAACCTGTTTCTATCTGTCTCTTTCTAACCCCTACTTTTTTGGCGTCAAATGTTGCATATAAATATTTTTCTTTTGTTCTATGCAACAACAATAAACGTCAACAGACTTACCGATTCATTTGAACGTTGTTTTGTAATGTTTAAACTGAATCGAGTTCAATTTAGAAACGCCAATTTATTTTTGAAAAAGAAAACACAAAAAAAAGATAAATAAACAAAACAAAAGTTTGATTCGTCAAGAGATAGTTAATTCGGTTTAGGAACAAACATCAGGATTGAAATATGATTTTTACAGGAGCGCGTTTTATTTTTGCGTATCTTTGAATTTTACTAATTTTCGCTGACGCTGTTAGTAATGATAATGTTTTTGTGGGAAGTAATTGCTTTTTTTCGAATGTGTGAAAAGCTGATAAACGCGAAGGAATTTTTTTTGTTGCTTGTACGGATGAAGATAATACTGTTGATTGATGCTGCTGTTGTTTATTAATGTCACCAAATATAGATTTAATGCGCGGTAATATCAATTTTTGGTGGTGGTGGTGGTGTTGTCGTTGTTGTTTTGCCAATGGACATCCGGGAGAATGAATGAAAGAAGGCTTATAAACGCGGCTTGCTGCTCTAAATGAAGAAGTGTTTTCTATCGTATGATTGTTGTTATTACTTTTGATGCTGTGCAGAGATTTATTTTCCATCATCATTTTAACTCCGGTTGTCGCATCGATTCGACAAACTTCATGATCTTTACTTGTTAAATTACTTGAAACATTATTATCATTATCGTCATTATTATTTTTATCATGATTTTTATAGTCATTTTTACTGTTATTTGAACCAGTGGAAATAAAGTGATTTTTATTTTTGTTCAATTTCAAAGAAATCTTCCACATATCATTATAAATAAGCTTCGCCATCTCAGATAAATACGCAAAAAATTGCTTCATTTCCAAAGACTCGCATTCCCATTTCCGTGTGGCAATTTCGGTGATTTGATATGGATCAACATTGTGTTGTTTATTATTATCGTTATCGTTATCGTTATCGTTATTACAATGTTTATAATAATAAGAAAGATTTTTTTTCAAAGACGCGTAGACTTCTTTACGATACAAGATAAATGGGGTCGGAATGTTGTGAAGGTGAAATGACAAGTCGAATTCAACGATGCTTTTATTGCTGCTGCTGCTGCTACTACTAATAGGTGATAATAAGTATTCTAGCGAAGAAGCAGAAGAAAGTTTCAGAGGGATTTTTATTTCTTTATCCACTATCTCAGATTTTATTCGTGATGTGATACATTCTTTCCAGTGCTTTAAAAGTGAGATATTTGTAGTGGTGGTTTCAGTGGAAGAATAATTACCATTGCTATTGTTATAGGTGTTATTATTAATATGGTTGCTATGATCGTTGTATGAAATAAAATTCATCTTTTGAATATCGATATGGTTAATTCGAAAGCGTCGCAAACTTTTTCGTATTTATTACTTTTTTAAAATTGCTGTTTCCTCATTTTCAGGATCATAGAGATGTAGAGATCTCACGCTCGCTTTGTGATTAGTATGATCAAGTGTAACTCATGTGGTCCATGAGCACAAACCTAAAGTTATAATAGTGATATCGGTACATGTACATGTATTATGTGTTTGTTAAATACGTACTACTGCTGCAGAATACAATTTATTTAACCCGTTGCTTTAACAATGTTAAATTCCACCAATTGAAAAAATGCATCATACGGAAGCTCCCCCACAGGTATTTTCAAATAGACAAATAATAAATAAATAATAAATAAATGAAACTATTATAAATGCATGTAATTTACTTTTTCATTCAGTTTGTTTTTTTTTTAGTCACTATTTTAATAAGCTTTGATATGCTATATCACTTTTGACTTTTTCGTGGTAGGTTTCATGTTTGCATTTTCTTAAGCAAGAAAGTTATATACAGAATGACACAAGAAAAGCCAAGATAATTAGTTGTATTTCGAGATAATAACATACATACACGATTGTTTAGCTATGTAAGGGGGTATATTATAAATCTTCTCGCATTTTTTTTTTGCATCTTCGTAATGTTACATAATACCTAATTATTTGTTTTCATGTCAATGTAAACGTAATGCGCAACTTTTCTAACCAGGGTCAGGATTTCTATTTTGATTAATTTATGATTCTGGATCTTTCCATTTGCATAACTATTGAGGTCTTCTTTTGCTTGATTTCAAATGAACCGGTTGATTTTTACGAATTACACGTAATGAATTTTTGAATCAACCAATTAATAAAAGTTTAAATTACGGTTATTATTATTTATTAATTTTATTTACATGTATTATTTTATTACAAATGGAATTCAATCTGGGAGCAATCCTCCGATATTTGTAATTAGAATGTTTGGTACAGTATTTTTAATTTATACATGGATAAAAGCATAGAAGCTACTAAAATTGATTATAATATATTAAACTTTAATATGCATCTCAAAGGAAATAAGAAAAGTGCCGTATTTTGCCGCATAAAACACTCCCCCCGTAAATAATTTAAACCTTATTTTAGCCCTATTTTTTTATTTTAGCAAAGCAACTACTTTCCGTAACAAATAAATTAAGATTTACGTGTACGGTGTGCAATTTCTTAAAAACCTTGGTTACTGTTAAATTAGCCTTCTGGTTCAATTAAGGTTTAAATTTCTCACAGACGGGGTTAGTTTACGCGGAAAAATACCGTAAGATGTTATCACAATAAAGGAGAAAATTTTCCAATAAGACTGTTGTATTTTTGAGTTAGAGGGTTGGTTAAATTGTTTATGTTTCATCTTTTTTCCGAAAAGATGGCATGATTTCTTATTAAGCATAAACCGTTACTGTTTACTTTTACTCTTTTGTATGGGTGGTAAAATTAAGTTGGAACTCGAAAAAATTAATTGGTCAAGTCGTGACACGATAATATCGATATATGCATTGTGTCGATTTTCCGTTTATCGGCCACGAGAGCAATCAAAACAAATTAAAAATCCATGAAATTTAATTTTACATTGCATACACCGATTACGCAAGCGTGAAATAAAAGACCGCCGTTTTCGTTTTTGTTTTCTGATTGATTTTAAATTAAGAATTTTTAATTTGGAAAGTTTATTGCTATTAATCTTTTAAGCTTTTCATAAATAACAAATTATAGCAATAATAGTTTTTAATAGTATATATAGATCTTAATTTGGCCTACAAGTTTCTTGTACACTACTAAACGGTCATATCATTTATTAAAACCGAACATGCAAAAATGATAAATAATTTAATTATTCAATTTAAATGTGTTGATCGTCAATTGCTTTGAAAAAATTATCGCATCATAAATATCGTCTAGAAATGCGTGCACCATCCAAAGAATTTTGCATTAAATAAAATTGACAGTAATTTAGGATTATTTAAAGCACACTGATGCATTTCATTATTCAAACAAATGATTCAAGCATCTTTGGTTTATGAATACATGTAATAAAATCATTTTATCATTGGTTCAATTCACTACATCAATTCTAGATTGAAACTCCAGACCGCATATTGCTACAACTGAAGCAGCGACTACAAATAGCAAAGCTCCCGCCTTTGATACTGAGATTACTGCTATGATTTTGATTAATAAGCACACTTTTTTTTTTACAAAGTCAAGTCGCTTGTATCTACTGCCACCACACAGATAACGGATTGCTATTTATAGCTGGTTCCGAAACATAGTGATAGATAGTCCGTTATAGGCCAAATCCGCTATCGATCGTCCGTTATATACGTATACGTTCCAACTTATAGTTATCCGAAATTGAAACTAATGAAAATGTAAAGTTCGTTCATGCATATAAACTTTAAATAACGTGCAAATAAATTTTTTTTTGCTTAACTTTCATTTCTTTAATAAAATATTTACCGTTAAACTGGACGCTCGATCAACCGGACACTTGTATGAATCGGAATCAGAAACTTTGTACTATAGATTGGAGCCCTCCGCGTGTATGCACTTTTTAATAATCGGTTTTTATAACGTATATTCTGAATGAATGCACTTTTTAATAATCGGTTTTTATATCGTATATTCTGAGTGAATGCACTTTTAATAATCGGTTTGTAACTTGTATGAATTGAAAAATGCTAAAGACACAGCATCAGTATTTATTGGCTGCTCAAAACCTAAAAATATAGCTTTTATTGTTCTTTTGACACACTAATTTGTAAATACGAGAGTATTCGTCCTTTCATTGGTTTAATTAGTTGAATGTGCTGACTAAATAAATCGAGCAATTACCCTATCGCTATGAGGCAAGTGCTACCGCTCTTAAATTTTTTCGGAATAAAAAATACGAAATCTTCCTGTTCCAGAAATTCATCCAGAGAAATTCTTTGAGTCGTTGCGAAACGGGAAAAATTCGTATTTTCTACTGAACAATTATGCAGTATCTTTCTCGTGAAGGATTTACAGTAAATAATAGAGGTTTATGATATCGTAAAAAAATTACAACGCCTCGTCACTTGATGTTTTGTCGCATTTTACATGCACCAAATACACAACCTTCGTCCACTCGTGAATTTTAGCGTTAGTGTCACAATGATTTGTGCTTAACCTTAACGATAAAAATTAAAAATAGAATCATTTTTTGAGCGAGTCTTTAAATAAATAGTTTTTATACTTGCATTCAGAACCACTTTATTATGTATACTTTTATCTCAAATGCTAAATTTTCCTAATTGGCGTGGATATGACGCCAAATTATATTATTAATCTAAACTTAGAATCTTTGATTCAATGAGATCTGGACTTTGCATAATTTTGATATCGATATGCGATTCATTATTATTATAATTGTGACTTTTCTAATTAAATAAAGATATTGAATTACGAGTTTCTGTTATTTTTTCAATTCATCAATTACATAAATCCCCAATTCCTTTCTCATTACATCAAGATCTTTTTCAAAACACTCTTCAAAATAAACATTCATTAATAATTGGCTGCTAGAACCACACTGTACCGCCCAAGGAACATAAACATCAAACAAACGACTTCTTTCCTCCGATGTCAATCTCAAATGCCCAAACAACGAACTCAATAAAGAAACCGGTAGCCCTGTCTGCGCTAACTCAAACCATTTCAACACCAATTCTCCTTCAATAGTGGTTGGAAGATTTGTCAACGTATGAAAGAAATCATGTGCTTCCCGAAATCGACGCATAACGTAGGCCAGTTCTGGATCATCAATGTATTGGACTTTTGTACGGGTATCTGGAGTTACTTGATACTTGTCGAGAAATCCCACGTATACGGATCCGAACGTGGTTTTGGGAAGCTGACGAAGAAAATTGAGGTCTATCGTTTGGGTGTTTATTATTGGTTGGTCGCGAAGAATGCGACGACCGGTTTTGTCTTGTAGCATTTTGTCTCGGATACGTTCCAGAAAAATGGTGCCAGTTGTTTCGCCTAATGTAGCAACCATATCTTATGGAATGTTTTATTAATTACATTCAATAAGAATTTAAAAATAACTCTCGAAACAACTGGCACATAAGATACCTTCTCGACTAGGATCAAGCAACGCAGTAAAAGCCGATGCGACGCTCAACAACACTTTTTGAAATCCGGAAGTTTTCGAAAAATGCTCATTTTGATTCGCCCGATTGGTAGAAGTTGTATTATCACCGTACACAGATGATACGAAATTTCGATGAGCTTTTAACGTTGAGGAAAAAAATCGAATTAATACCTAAAAAAGATTTAATATTAATTTCACGTCTTACTTGTTGAAAATATTTTTAATAATTTATAATTTGAATTTATTTTATGTGAAACAGAGTTCTGGCGAAATTTAGCAAGTAAATGCTGTCGATGTTGATTTAACATTTTTAAGTGACCAAAACCAGGTAAATTTACATCGATATTAATAGTTGCGCATCGTTGCACGGATTATTTTGGTTAATATCGATATTATCGTTATCGTTATGCCATATCTATTATAAGTTCAAAAAAATTGTCCTTGATGTTGTCAAACTATAACAAAATCCTTGACTGGACCAGAAGCATGACCATGTGATATTGACAAAAATTTACCATTTCAAAATGCTATTGCTATTCTTAACAATAATAAGGATGAGATAAATTGTGTAATGATAAATGGCTTCAGGGAATTGGGTTACTTTGGCTTAAGATTCTTTAAAAACTATAAGTGTTATAATATATAAAATAAGACAGTTCGAAAGGGAAAGACACAAAGTTCTATTTAGCTTCGAAAGGTATAATACCATAATTTGTATCACAATGGTGCTGGCATAGAAGCGAAGTTGGCTTTCGCGACGATTTGCTAAACTAGAAAATTGAGTGCATATCGATATTTTGAATTAAATTAAATCAATGACAATAAAAATTATAAAGTATAATGTAGTTACCTTTTCTTTTTTGACATTCTCCTAGTTTGTTGGAAGATTTTCATCTTGAATCTGTAGTTTTTCTTGCAAGTCACTCGATATCTCTTCATTCTCTTTGATTTCATGTGGCATACTGAAATCGAAATCGTTTGGAACATACAAACTGACACTTGTAGTGCCTAAATAAATAAATTTCAATTAATATGAAACGTCAATTTGATTTATATTTAGAAATAAAAAATACCTGTGTTAGTTGGAATTGAAATTAATTTTATGGTAAACATTCGACTGATGTAACTGCGTTTGAGTGGATTTGTTTCTCGTTCGTATTTGTAGAAATGCTCATTTTTAATTCCATCTCCTCATCGAGTTTATTTAATTTCTGCTTTTCTAGTTTGAGACACTCAATAATGGTTTCATATTTTAAAGAGCTGTAGTACTGAAAATGCAAAGTGTTCAGTTTCATCCAATCCCGAACGTGTAAGATAGAGTCGATAAAGTCATCAAGTTCCTCAGCAGTTGGTCGGTTTTTTGGAATAGGATCCCAACATTTTTCAATAATAAATTTGCACCATCCGGGAACATTATTTGGTATTGTAGGTCGTACTCCGTTATAGATGTCAAACACGAGATTTCTATCATGACTCCACTCACCGAATGGTCGTTCACCTGTGGCAATCTCATACGTTATCATCCCGAAACTATAAATATCTGCAGCTTTAGTGTATGGCTTTCCATTTAATACCTCTGGACTCATATAAGGAAGTACTCCGCAAATTTTTTGATCAGATTTTTCTATATCTGCTAGTATGGTAAGTCCAAAATCAGCAATTCGAGCAGCTTTAAGCCATATTAATATATTTCCAGGGTGAAAGTCACGATGCACAAATTCCTCTCCGTGAATTCTATTCAGCCCTAAAATAATTTCAATTATATGATTTAATTTTTGTTCCCAATTCAATTTTTGGTGGTTGGAATTCATATATTTGCGTAGATCGCCATCTTTTGCATATTCCATCACTATCGAGTATTCATTTGTAGCTGGGTTTTTAGTTATCCCATAATATTTTATTACATAGACCATAGACATCAGTGCACTTTAGAGCAGTCTGAATCTAAGTTTGTAAAAGATAATTAGATTAAAAACAAAAAGTAAAATGCTTACACTTAAAGGTGTTCATTTTACCTCGTTTATAAATTCGGATGTAATTTGCTTTGAATTGTGTAATTTCAATACAACTTTACGTTCTCCCCATCGTTTAAATTTTTTTTTCATGATCCCACTTGCGAGGGTATTTTAATGGTCCGTCCAACCAGAATGCTTTATAAATTGATCCAAAACCTCCTTTTGCAAGATATTCAACATTGGTAAATCTTTCAAAAGGGATCCATTCGAAAGATTCACGACGTAAATCAGCAATTCTGTCGCATTCAGTTATTAGACTGTCGATATCTCGATTTCCACTAGACCAATCAACATAAATTCGTTTGTGATATAGATAACATCCATCACAGTACTCGTTTTTTTTGATATTTTGGTACATTTACTACAATCATGAGTATTGTGAACTGAACACGCTTTGCAGCCGTAACCCCATCTTTGACACAAAATACATGTACTACAATCATGAGTTTTAGATGCCATCTTTGAGTTTATTAGTGATTATGGCAGTGTTTTATTTAAAAAACGATATACGTATGTGAAAGTCGTTCACTTCCGTTTGTGTTTGTATTGATTTATGCATGAAAAATGACAAAGGAATACTACGTACGCCCAAAGATGATAGGCAGAACGCATAAAAAGAAGGTTATTGTAACTTCTATTGTTGTGTAAATGTAACATGTTGGTGATAAGAATAGCGATAGTAATTATATTATCGTAAATACCATTTATCTTGAGATGCCATCTTTGATTTATTTTATTAGCATTAGCGTTAATGATTATGAGTAACATACATGAAAAATGAGACAGAACGTGTAAAAAAGAAGGTTTTGACGTATAACTTATTGTTGTATGCCAAATTTTTAATGTAACTTGCGGCGAACCAATCAGAAGTTCGATATTATCATAATTTTTATTTCAGTTAATTTTTTTCGTTGTAATACGTATACCATCAAACAATTATCGAATTAGAAGGGATATATCTTTCTATCTCGAATATCATCTTTTCAGGAACCTAGAGAATAACGGGGAAGTTTCGATAAGTGCGGGACTAACCTTTGAATATATCTGGGAGCAAAAAAGTCACGATACATCTGTGCCAAAGAATCAAATTAACAAAAAAGAAAAAGTCGAGTACCCAAAATCAAAAACTCGAATCAAAATATTAGAAATATCGGCTGGTGAAGAAACCGAAAACAACGAACACATTTGGAAACATCATTTATTCGGATAGACAAAACGACGAAGAATACTATTTTGAAAACGACTATTACTCAGATTAAATGATCGTTGAATTCAAAGACAAACCAACAAAAAATAAATTTAGCTTCAACGAAAGAAGAAAAGAAGTACAAGTAAATGAAAAGAAAAGTATTAGTGAAGTAATTAGCACAAATCCCGAATACTTCTACTGACAAAGGTATACCATCAAACAAATATTTTATAAAAAGAATTAAGGACCAAACTTCTTGAAAAAAGCGGAATTAAGGTTGCTTGCCGAAATCTCTTAGTGACTGCCGAAATTCTGTCGAAATTATAATAAACTATTAGTAAATAGCCCGCCAAAATTCTGACGAGTTTTGAAACCCGTCATAACCGAAATTATGCCGAAATTCTAATTAACAATTAGTGTGTAACCCGTCGAAATTATGACGATATTTTTTTGAAAGGATTTAGGCAAGCATCCTTAGTTGCGAGAAGGATTTTTGCAACAACATCCGACTCTAGATCACGAAATCTTCCCTTGCTTCTTCAATTAGCACTGTCTGGAAATTCTTTTGTTTGGCAATTTCATTTTGGAGAAGGAATTTATATCATGTTGGTTCGCTATGGAAGAGTTTCTGGTTTTCTTTTCTTCATTAATTATTCTTGTGCTGTACCCACAGTCATTTATATGCTGCGATATTTCTTCCACCAGCATGCCTTTTCCAGTGGCGATACTTTCTTCTACAACGATTATCCTCGTTGTTGCCGAGAGAAATTATTATTTGGTAGGTTAGATGGGTTGTTTGTTCGCAGGTCTACTTCAAAAGTATACACACCTGGTTGCTCGTAGTTTTCGGTCAACGGGTCTGTTTCTGCCGAAAAGCTTTGAATGAATATGAGCTGGTTATTTTTTATTTCAAATTCGGAGGTTGTTTGAAGGCCTCCTTCTTGATAAATAATTTCGTTATTGATAATAAAAGGGTTTATTTTTGTTTTTATATTTCCGTGATTATTTTTACGGATCTCATTTATTCGGGAGCAAAATGTTTTGGTAGGTTTAATTCTACTATCGTTGTTGGTAATTTATAGAAGACGGAGATTGATTCTTGGGTTGTACTCAAAAACTTTTGTCCAAAGTATTCTTCTTTGATTTGGTCGTTTTTTTTTCGAGATATAAAGTTATTTTTTGGGTATTTGCATGAACGAACTCTCCTTAGCGGGATAATATTTGGGAAAGCCGATAATGATACAACAAACGAACAACAATTCCTGATGGAGGAATGCCTGATAAACAAAAAAGGTGTTCGAAAAAGCATCGGTAATTTATCTCCCAAACAACGATTGAACTGCATCACCCAAATACGTAAAAATCGTTATCTATAAACAAGAAAACATGAGTATATGTTAATAGAGATGTTCATAGAAGTATTCATCCAGCTCATAAAACTTACCATATATTTGGGTTCCATAAACTTTATCCTTCTAAACTCTTTGAAGCAACCCAAATAATTAATTTTCCATTTTTCCTGCCTGGTTGCAGCAAGTAATAGCAAATTCAAAAAAATTGTTGTTGACATGGTTATATTTCGCATAATTTTGGCCAGCAAGTCCAAAATATGGGTAAAAATACCACATTGTTTTGTAGAAAGATAACCAGCTGCTACTAAAGAACTTTGACCAAGAGAGTTTACTCCTTCAGGATAATGTTCAAACATCTCAGTATTCGTAATGTAAAGTCTGCTTGCTTTTTAACGCGAATTATAACTTTTTTGTTGAGTACAAGAATAAATTAATACTGTAAAAGCTTCTTTGGCTTTAACATTGCTTGGCAAAGGATCATTGCCTTTATATAACCAGGTTTTTCCAAAGCACCTTTGCGAAGTCTTTTTTTCATCAACAACTGTTCAAATGTGGCTCTTTCAACACAATAAACAATCAGTAATTACCGTTTATCGTTATCATGCGATAAATAAAAGAAATCACAAATTATCCTAAACACATAAGGCAGCAAAACACAAATGCATTATTATCAAAAATAACTTTATACTCATCAGATCCCCTTCATTAATACTGGACACTGGCATATGACAGTCGGTAAATATTAGTTGTGAAGGCGTGCGGTTTTTTTTTGTTGAGAAAATATTATTAATTAAATTCTTTTTCCAATGCCACATTTTATATTATCGTTATATTTTGACGAAACCATCCGATCGGATACTTTTGACTGCTAACGCTAATTCCAAATAAAAGAAGATATTGCGTTACGTAAACTTCACAGAGGAATTTGTTCATCGTGACCTACCGGTCCAGCAGATACAGTCAGGACTCGATTTAACAACTACGTATGGCGATTCAATGAAATCGTGAGTTAGCGACTTTTGTTCCATTCAAATCGCGCTCAATTTAGCGACGTCATTAGTATTCTCTCAACTTATTAGTTTAGCAATATCTTGAAAGATTTATCGGTAAATCGAGCACTAACTGTATCCATCGAAGATTTATATTCATGTATGAGCTTAGAGAAAATTAAAAGGAATATTATATTATTATTAGAGTTTGACCAATATTTGCATTATTTATGTGAATTTCTATATATAAAAAGAGTATTCATAATAATCAACTGGTTTAGCATAAGAAATTGTTGCAAAGATTGTTGGTGGTTTTTCAAAAAGACGAGGTAGATAAATTTGACGATTGTAAGTTGTCTGTAATGTTGTTCACACAGGTAAAAAAAAAAAGTGAATATTTGACTTTAGATAAAATTGCACATTTTCAATAATTTTACGAGAGTTTGTTATAGTTGTGTCATAATCAAGGATGTCAAAACTTTGCCCTTTTCATTTTTGCTTGTGAATTTCCTCCTAAAGCTTGATCCTACATGTTTTTAACAAAGAAAACCTTATAAACTAATAGGGATGGAATTAACATTTTAGATAACTAATATGCATATATTTGAGACCTTTGATTTTCCATGGAACCAAATTCTACCAAATCCTATTTTTTTTTGTCTGAATATCGGAGCTGATAACGATAAATTTGCAGATAAATTAAATTAAATTTATGACAAGCGTCTGTTTGCATGTTCCAAATAAAGGTTTTGAATATCACAAACGGATCTATAAAGCTGAATGGTCTAGCAAAATAAAGATATCAAGATTTGTCATAGTTCTTTTTTAATTGATAAGAGAACAGAAAAATAAAATTTTACCATACACTTTAACGATAACACTATTTGCTTTATCTAATCTCACGTGATTATATGGAAGTGAGACTTATGGTTAGACTGCATCAAATTTCATTGATTAAAGAAAATCGGTAACGTTTTTTATCGTTATATCTTTAAAATGGGTATCGGTATAGAAACTATGGACATTAGATTGATTTGGAGGTACATAATTATTGTAATACCGATACCCGATCTGCGTAACCATCAATCACATTCTACAAATGTACCATTCGCTACATTCACTATCACGTGAAATTAACTACATGTTCGTAATTGGCGTATAAATCAAAGTTGCCGAATTTGATAACTTTATTTGGACAATATATTTTAACACAACTTGGTGTAAATTGTTTTTTTTAGGTAGAAATTTATATTTGACAACGAATTCCAAACATAAAAATGGCCGACGACACGACAACCACATCGTCTTCACCTACACACATTTCAAAAAAACACATTAAAAAACAACAAACAACCCATCCACTACTTTTTCATTCATTGAATGTGTTTAATCTTCCACCAGAAATTCTCGGTGCGTTAGTCTCGCACAACATCGTCGAAGATGACGGCGAATCAGAAACGACAATTAATAAGGAAATCACGGAATCGACATTGGCGCAAGGTGGAATAATAGGAATTTCAACGGCTGGATGTGCTACTTGTGGTGGACTCGTTTTTGATTCAGTTGATGAACAACGAGAACATTATCGTACGGACTTTCATCGATTTAATGCTAAGCGAAAGTTATTTGATCCGAATGTTGAGCCTGTTGCTGAGGAAGAATTTGAAGAAATGTTGGAAGGTTTTTATTTTTTATTTCCTTCTCTTTTCTAATCTTTAGATCATCAAAATTATGTATCAAAAAAAATAATTTTCTTTTAGAAATGACCAAAAGTTCAAGCGATACAGAATCAACAAACTCAAAGGCATCCTCACAAAGCTCATACGACGCTGTTGAAGCTCTTTTTAAAAGACACCAACCATCGACTGAAAACGACGAATTCGAGAGAACAATCCATCAAGATAATTCTCCATATCTCTGGTTCTCTGCACCTCCAGTTCTTCGCGAAGAAATTCACCTTGGAATATTTAAACAAATATTCCCGGATCCTCGACATGGTGATCCCATACAATACCTAAAAAGTGCTCAAATTGATGGTGGTGGAGGTGACAAAGAATCGAAAAGGATCTGGACTATGTTGATGCTAAGTGGTGGGTATTTTGCGGGTTTGGTTTGTGCTCTGGATCCAAAGAAAACTGGAAAAGATTCTGGAATGGAGCCGATTGTACATAAGCGGGTTCAACGATATACTGGTATTTCCGATTTTTTGCATGTTTCATGGTTGTTGTATTTTTGGTGTTTATTAAATATATTATTTAAAAATTGAATGTGAATAGTGAGACGAAAGCAGGGCGGCGCACAGTCTGCGCATGATCAAGCAAAAGGTGGTGCAAAATCCGCAGGGGCTGATTTGAGACGATTTAATGAAGCAAAACTTCAAGGGGTAGTTATTGTTATTATTATTTTGAGTGAATATTTCATCTTTGTTTCTAAATTATTTACTATAACTTTATTTGAACAGGAAGTTCGCGAATTACTCGAAAATTGGAAAGACTGGATCGAGAAAAGTGATTTGGTTTTTGTGTCTGCTCCTGGCGCTAATAAAAATATTATTTATGGGTATGAGGGAGCTGTGCTTAGACGAGGTAAGAAATAAATTCACTAAATTCGAAAATTCGGCATAAATTCATACTAATTCGAGTGTTTTCTAATGAAGCTGATCCACGGATTCGTTCTTTCCCATTTTCCACCAAACGTCCGGTAAGAAAAATTTATCCAACTATTTCCAAAAAGAATATATTTAATGATAATTGAATTGCATTAGGCATTTAAAGAGCTAAAACGAAGCTTCAACAAACTGACAACAGTCAAAGTATCGGAGCTCAACGCTGAATCTCTCAAGAAATTGCTATCTTCACGCGATCCGGCTGAAGAGCTCGCCTCAAAACTAGAATCCTTAGCAAAAATAACCACTGTTCCAGCAAAAAGTAAGAAACCAGAACCTCCACAAGAACCAAAAAAACCAGAACAAACCGAAGAAGTAAGGAAATTTATTGAGCTGATTCGTAAAGGGAAATTAGACCTGATGATGGGACACATGGAAAAATGCGCAATTTCGCCGACCATTAGCTTTGAGACTGAAGAATTTAAGCATACGCCTACATTGCTTCATGTTGCTTCGTCAGCTGGGCAACCCGAAATTGTGGCTTTTTTCTTGGAAAAACATGCTGCAGACCCGACAATAACATCGACGACTTTGAAGACACCATACGATGTTGCGCTCGATAAAGAGACAAGAAATGCTTTTCGTAGATATATGGCCGAACATCCTGATCAATGGGACTGGAAAATGGCACATGTTCCAAGTGCACTGACCAAAGAGATGGAAGAGGAACAAGAGCGTAAAGCCAAAGAAAAGAAAAAGAAAGAAAAAGAACGCAAGAAGAAAGCAATAAAAGAAGGTGGTGGTAGTTCAAAAAGCAAACAAAAAGATGTTGAGCCGCCGACTTCCAATCAGCCGCCACCTAAAACCACAGCAATTGGCCAAACACTAAATAAGGCCATTTCTGAACTTGTGGATACCAATCTCACGCCGGAAATGCAGGCGAGGATTGACCGTGAAAGGAGAGCACGTGCCGCTGAAGCGCGAATGGCTAAATTGGCTAATCGGGGGAGTAGTAGTAGTGCGGCTGCTGCTTCTGCGTCTGCTTCTAGTGCTGGAAGCAGTAATAAAGGATTGGTTTGTGAAATGTGTAAGACATCGTTGGTAGGAAAAGTACCCTTTGCTCGTATGCAGTGGCAGTATTGTAGTACTGAGTGTGTTGTTAAACATCGTGCACTAGTAGGATAGTGATATAATGAATAGAAATATATATTTGAAGCGTATTTTATAATGAGAAATATAGAAGTCAATTTTGTGCAAATCATATAAAAAATTCGATATCAAGAATAGTTGCTATCATCGTAAAATAGTCGAGACACTAATCTAAAATTTGATATTCACCCCGAAAAGTAACTCACGATGCCTGACGATAATGACCATTTTTGGAAGTGAACGAATGCGAAAAATGCATGTACTACATGTACTGGTAAATGTACGTATTGATTTTCACGAAACCTTTCGCCATGACCACTTTGGGAAATGTAAGTGGCGAATGACGAATCGTCTGACGAATGACAATTTCGGCAAACTAAACCATAAAAGCAATACGTAGGTCAAGTCAAGCTTTATCAATTTATCGGTTTATTTTTTTGTATAATTTTTACCAGAGGTATATATATTTAAAATTATACACTTTTCTCGTCTATATAATAGAAGGTTTCGCCACAAGTTTCGTCGTGGGTTTCGTCTGACGAATGATGTGTCGAAATCTTTCGTCATAGTTTGTTCAGGTATCATTAACCCCAGATTAGGTCTCCGTCTCTGAAACAAACCATAGGAATGAGCAAGAAGCTCGAAATAGTAAATCAACGAAGTAAAAACCCCATTGGATCTTAAATAATTATAGTGAACGAATAAATTCGATTTTGGGGCATAGACCACAAAAACGCAGGATTAGAAGGATATAAGAGACAGATCTTTATTATTTTCGTAGGTTAACACACCCTTGGCTAAGATTGAAACTACGAACTTCACTACCAAGGCCTATACACTCTCCATGCTCCAAGGGAGTGACATCAATCTCAAAGGATTCGGTTCCAGACTAAAGGCCATTTTGCAGAACGATAATCTTCACACCACCGGTAGGGATACATCGAGCATAATTTAAACTACTTGTTGGCAGGAACCGGTAATACAGAGGATCCGCTTAAGCCTTCTAATTAACAAGTATTGCTGAGTAGTTTAAACGGTGCTTTATACATCCAGCTTGGCGATCACTATGTGGCTCGCCCGTCACTCATTTGCGAGGGTGCTCATGAACTAGAATTTACTAATTTCTGCCAGGTTTCTTATTGGTCACAGGTAAATTCTATCGCTAATTGATCAACTACCCCAAGGACGGAAAAATTCTACTGTAATGTAATCTTAAGGTAGCCAGTGTTAGGGTTAGGATGGAGATCAAGGTTATATGTATTGCCTCCCCGACATTTTTTATTAGTATACAAGGTAGATTTAAGCATATACTTCCTGTTTTTTCATTTTCTTGTGTCGGATTTGTTTTTCTGGATTGATCAAAAATTCGTGTATCCTTATTGGTTTATGCAATACGTGATCAATTTCATCCAATTAGTGATGGATTTACCTGCGACCAATAGGAAATCTGGAGAAAAATTAGTTATTATAGAGCCTCCAGGTAAGATATTTGAAGCATGTGACTATATATTATATATAAGACATAGACACTATTAATAAATTTACTAATTCGATCAGAAAATATATCAAATATGAACAGGAATGATTATTTCTTTTATAATTAAGATAATTTTCTTAAAATATTGTTATTATTTTCAACAAAAATTTTGTAATTTCTTAATTTTTAAATTATTATAAATTATAATTTAATTTAATTAATTTCTCTTTTATTTTCCTTTTTGATTTAAAATTTAACATTAAAATAATCACATTCTTTTATACTCTTTATTTTATTTTCATTTTTATTTTCTGCTATTAATATATTTTATATTTTATTATATTTATCCAATCATATTTATATTTATTTTATCTTTTATTTTTATTTTTATTTTTATTATTATTTTTGTTTCATTTTCTTTGTTAATTTTTCTCATAATCAACTTTGTATTATTATTTTTTTCTTTAGATCTTTCTTTTTATTATAATATTGATTTTTCTTATCTTTAATCACTAATTTTCTTGTAAATTTTCTCTTATATTTTCTTTTTTGTCATTACATATAATATTTTATTTATTTTTCAGTCTTTAGTATTATTATAAATAGTATTATAATTTAGAATAATTATTAATTATATAAAAAAAAGTTTTTCATTACTAGAAATTCTCATACTTTAATTTAATAAAAATAATAAAATTCTTACTTGTAATATTATACTTGTAAATATATTATTATTTTTTAATTATTTTTATCTAAATAAACTGTTGAATTTATTATTTTTGTTTTTATTAATTTTAGACTGTGTCAATAAGTTTTATTTATTTATTTAATATATTAATATAATAATTTTATTTTATTTTTTTATTAATAATTCCAATAAGTTCAATTATTATTTTAATTTATTAGGTAGTTTCAATAAGTTATATTATTTTTTAATACTATTTTATTTTAATTTATCTTATTCTTTATTTAATTATTCTACTTGCTCTTATTTTTATCTTTAATATTAAGTTATTTTGTATTTTTAACTTTTTTAAATTAATATTAAAAGAAAAATATTAATTTAAATTATTTTGTTTACATTTAAAATATTATAAAAAAATTATCTTAACTATAAAAAATATATTAAAGCTGAATATATTTGATAATTAGTTCAAAATACAAACCAATAAAAATGTATAAATTTTTAATTAGTCTAGTAAAACAAATTCGAAATACAAACAAAATATAAAATATAATGAAAAATAAATGCTTAAATCTATCTTGATATACTAATAAAAAATACCAGAAAGACAATTTTATATATAATCTTAATTTTAACTTTAGCTTTAATTCTAACCTAAACTTAAAATTATGTTTTAATTATATAATTTCATATTATATAATATATCTATTTTTAGCCATTTCTTATAAAAAATAATTATTATTATTCATATTTGAAAATAATTTAAAGCATTAATCTTTAATAATCAGTCTGAAATAAACCAATAAGAATATATAAATTGTTAATTAATCCAGCAAAACAAATCTAAAGTATAAATGAAAAAATACAAAAAATAGATGCTTAAAGCATTATTAAAAAATGTTAGAAAATCAATTTACATATAACTTTGTCTTTCACTCTAACTCTAACCTTAATTCTAATTTTAAAATCAATTTTTAATTATAATATCCATGTGATCATGTGGGTACAATGCTTTAACTTCATATTTGGTATATTTACTAATTATAGTTTTAATCGATTAAGAATATTAAAGATTAATTTTAGCATTAGAATTAGGAGTTAGAGTTAGGACTAGAAAAAAGATTATATGAAAATTGTCTCCTCGACATTTTTTAAGCATTCGTTTTTCATATTTACCTTTTTAATTTTTTTATATCGAATTTGTTTTGCCGGGTTGATCAAAAATTTATTGGTTGATTTAGAAGATCCAGTGTGTAGACAACCAATCAGCGATGGAAATTACTTGTGTCCAATCAGAACTTGTAAACGCACTGTCAATATCCCTGCATTTACTAATTTCTCCCTGAAGTTTTGGTTGAGGATATTAAGAGTTAGTTTAGCATTAGGATTAAGGGTTAAGGTTAGGGCTGGAAGAAAGATTATATGTAAAATTGTCTTCCCGACATTTTTTACCCATTCATTTTCCGTATTTTTCACATTATTGTTTTGACGGGTTAATCAAAAATTTATGCATCTTATTAGTTGATTTAGAAAACCCGGTATGCACAATCAGTCAGCAATGGAAATTACTTCTATCCAATCAAAACTTCGGGTGAAATTAGTAAATGCCCCCTGCCTAACCCCTCCCCTCTAAGAATATTACGTAATATTTGTCACAGCCCCTAATGAAGTAAGAGCTGTGACATATATTATGTAATATAGGTTTAATATAGAGCCCACCCTCTCTCTCATGATATTACATAATATTTGTCACAGCCCTAACAGAGACGCGTTATTAATTGTTTATTTGTTTATTTGTTGATCGTTGTTTTGTTTTGATGATGCTCGTTACAGTATATATATATATAAGGAGTGGAGGGGTTGTCTACTTTTTTTATGATTGCTTTTATTACTTTTTTGTCCTACTTTTCTACACTTTGTTGATTATTTTTATTGCGGTTACTTGCCTACTTTCCACCACTTTACTTTTGTCTACTTTCCACAACTTTACTTTCCACCACTTTACTCTTGTCCATTTCGTTTTAATACTTTTGTCTACTTCCACATTTGTCTACTTCCACTTTTCTTTACTTCCACTTTTGTTTACTTTCACTTTTGTCTATTTCGTCTTTATACTTTTGTCTACTTCCACTTTTGTTTACATCCACATTCCACTTTTGCGTAGGTCCGAAGACAATTATGACCTTAAACTATGAGTCCTTTCATTTTGCTTTGTCAATTTTTTTGATTGATTTAGCTATTATGATCGTACTATTTTGTCCGTTTAAACGGAATAGTCCTCGCCACTTGGGACGATATGATAATGATGTGGCCGCTCGTAGGGCAGGTCAGAGTGTAAATGATCTGTCCTCAATGATTCGTTTTTGACCAATCGTTTCATTGGGCGGTGTTGGTACTACTTTGTCCGTTTATTTGGTCAGATTCTTTATGATCGGTTTGGAGGTCGCCCGCAGCTCCAATCCGTGTTTATTGGGTCTAAACGGAATAGTTCCCGCCACTTGGGACGATATGAGAATGATGTGGCCGCTCGTGGGGCAGGTCCGAGTGTAAATGATCTGTCCTCAATGACTCGTTTCTGACCAATCGTTTCATTGGGCGGTTTAAAATCAAGTCTGGGTTAAATGGTAATTAGAATAAATAAACTGGTATCAGTGGTTTCTCATCGAATGCCTCATGGTTTTTTCATGTAGTCGCTTCGGTGGAAAGGTTCAATTCCTTTCGGTATCATCTGATACGGTGTTCCATTTAATGGAGTCCAAGTGGATTCGCTTATCCTGGCCATAGGTACAACTCGCCTACCTGTACTTGAAGTCTTGCGTTTTTCTTCGGTTGTCTCGTCCGGTGGATCACCTTGTTAATCGGTATCCGTCTTTCGGTTAGATCGTTGGTCTGCTTCGGTCTTGCAATGCCTGCCTCTCGAAATATAAATAAGTTGCTTGAAAATTTCGTATAGACCATATAAACGACGTTGAATTTGTTTATACAGGTAAGAGTGTTTTTTATAACGTGATATTTTATGGTTTAATTTATTTCGAAAGCAGACTCTTGAAACTTAGATTTTTTTATTGGAAATATTCAAAGTATGTATAACACTGACGAGATTATATTATCCGTTAGTTTTTGATTTACGCAGAGTGGTCACATGTATAAACGATAATTAGTGTAGGAAATCGAAAAGCACTCATATTTTCCTCTGACAAATATCTTCGCTCATGGAAGAAGAGAAAACAAATATTAATAAAACATTTAGATCACCAGAACGCATGCTTCGCCTTCAATTTGAATTTAATGAAGATTATATAGATAAGTGAAGACGCAATAAAAGATATATCGCGTTTGAAATCACCTCTGGAAATTGAAGCTGTTATAAAAAAATTCGGAAAGATATCTTCTGGTGATTGGGATAAGCATGTACTGAAATTTATGGTTATATATCTCTTCCGATTCCTGTTTATAAAGCGGAACTGCGGCATCAAATTCCTCTGGCAAATTGACTACGGGTTTTCTACTCGTAGATATTTGCTTACGCAATTTGTAAATGTTTAGGTTGTCACTGCCAACCAATTTTATACAGCCGAATAACGTTGCCGGTGTGTTATTCGACAGATCTTCGAAGAGGAAGCAATAAAATCCACTGAAAATGAGGTTTACAGCTCTCAAATGGATGATGAGCGGCTGTTATTGATTCACATCATGCTTGTTGCCAATAAATTCGTTCCTTTATCAAAATTGGAACATATTTCAGATAATGCACCGGTTTTACTTTTCAGGTGTCAAAAGTCGAGTACGAAAGTAGTGATTCTGGCTGATAATTCAAAGTCGAATTTTTGGTCTAGTCGGTTGATTTCTTAGCGCGTTAGCGTTAGATATTACACTAACTTATACTAAATATAGAATGTTACACCATAAATCACTAATCGATTTTGGCTGATAATTTTGGTTACAGTTGATTGGTCGATTTTTGTTATCGATCAAGAATACGAAAATATCAACAATCTATCATAATTGGTCGATCAGGTTAGTTGTCTACATTTTTATTTTACCTTTTCATAGGTACAGGCTGTATAGACTAATTGCCTCCTATCTCAGCAATTTAAGTTATCCGTTCTATAAGACACCCAGCTATATAGCCAACAATAAGAACCAAGATAATTCCCACAAGAGACAAATATTTATCACAGTGAGTCACAATCTATGCCATCGGGTAAAGGAATACTTCTACAGGTTGCGAGAATCAGCAGTAATTGCTGAACAAAGAAAGGGAAGGAAGGCTACGATACTATCAAAATGATAATAAAATTCTTGAAGAGGGAGATGAAGTGACATTCCAAACTCGTTTTTACTTACAAAAGTTCTACGAAATGCTTGAGAGTACATTGATGGTCGAAAGCTAATCCAACAATCAAAAATAAATAAAGATGACGAGGAAGCTCACTTTGTGATTATAATGTTTTTAAGGAAAGGTTTAAATGATGATAAAGTTGATCTATTCAGAGTTCTCTATAATTAAAGTATGTAATCATATATAAAAATTCTATACTGTTTATTTTTGAAATATTAGTCTTAATTTCTCTAGAGATCGAAAAGTATTTATTAAGAGAGGCTTATCAAACCGTAAACATTAAAAATACACTGCATTTTTGCCACAACTGGGATAAAATCCACGACTTATTTCAGCTATATGCACTAACCTAAATGATGACTTTCATATGATCAAAGTTGTCTTATCGTGGGAATCATACAGATTTATAACGATCACAATGGACACATACAGACATTTTCACTATCGAAATGACCATATATAAAAGCGACATGAGAAATTTCAGCTATCTGTGCATATGAGGTCATGTAGATACAGAATTGCAATTCTGACTCTTATCACAAACGACGAATTCCTATTAACGTTAATAGATGACGACGACGATAAGATTTCGGGATTCCCAGCATTTATTAACAATGAACCGGTTATACATGTATATACAGAACTACATTTCTCAATCAATGGACGGGTTCCCACCAAACGAAATGGTAATACATACGATTCCTACCAATGAAATAAATGGTCACATACATTCAGAACTGCCCACCGTAAACAATGAATTTCTATTAATGGACGACGATGAATTTCGGTCATATGAACGGTTCCACCAATGAAACAGTCAATCGGTCACGAACTGCAAATATCGCATGCTTTTTCTGCTTTCCCTTCTTTCTTGAAAATGCACAGAATAATTACAGCCAAAATGCAACGCATAATGTGATGCTATTACATCTCATTCTCATCATTACGTATCGGTATTGTGAACAAAAGACTTGACAAAATCTATTATGATTTCGGAAATACTCGATTCCAACAGCAAACAACGAATTTCTATTAATCGACAACGACTATTCTACCAGCTACGTGACTGAAATAATAAAATAATGGTCATAGTATAAAACAAATTTCTATTGACTGTATAATTTTTTATTGATTAACTTTGTAGGTTGAATGAATTATACACCGAGTGGTTTATCCGACGTTTACGATTTAAGTCATTTACATACAAAACTGCAAACTAGGAATCGATTCCCTCTTTATAACGGCCCGGCACGGTATGTAAAGATCTTAATACATGTAACAAATGAAATTTCCGGAACTGTCATATAGGATACATATATCGATATTTATAATGGATTTACTTTATAGCGGCCAAAACTCTCAGAAACGTGCAACCGTTGTATATAGATATTTGGCATTTTGAGACTAGGAAATCGATTTTGTTCAAAATACAGTCGACTTTCGATATAACTACGTGCAGATCCTATTGTAAACAATATAAATTCAATAGAATCTGCACGTTGTTATATCGACTGTAGTCATAAAATAATAAATAGAATTGTCATCGATTAAAGTAACTTTAGTAAAATAAAGTGTTAGTGTAATACGGCGTATTAATTGAATGTATGGATATGGAAAATTCAACTACCGATTGGTGGGATACATGGACATGCATAAGACGCGTGATGAAAAATGTCCTCTGATAGAACCCTAGCCACGGCGAAAAAAATGTTTCGGATCACGTGATGTCGATCCAAGCTATTGAAATATCCGATTCATATTAAAGTATTAGTTAGGGTTTGGGTTAGAGCTCGAGTGAATATTGTACATAAAATTTCCTTCACGACATTTTTTAATAGTGCTTCAAGATACATTTAGATATCTGTTTCCCGTATTTTTCGTATTTTTGCATTTTTTTATTTTCTTGTTCGGATTTGTTTTGCCGGAACTGATCAAAAATTTGCCACATTTCTATTGGTTGCGCAGATTTTTACGCATTCTTATTGGTCGTATTGGATCGGCGTCACATGATCCGACACGTTTTTTCGCCGTGGCTAGAGTATTAGTCCTCCGATCGGGACAATGTCCCAAATGTTCACGTCCACGTTATATTGGTTGGACATGTCCCATGTACATCACTGGCCAACAGTATTTATTTGATTGCCTTTACGTATAAGCTAACGCCAATTCTTATATAAATACGTAGACTACTTGCAAAATTTTTTCAAAAAATTCATTGTCTAATGTTAATATAATACGTAATCAAAAATTTTCTTGATCGCTTTATTTATTCTATCTATTTTTGCGACAACCTTTGCAATTCCATTCGACCTACGAAATGTTGGTGTTGGTAATGCTGGTGTTAGTGGTGTTGGTAAAAAAGCATTTGCATATGGTGCATAAAATCTAAAGTCATCAGACGTTTGTATTTTATAAAATGGATAAACTTCTTTACTAAGAAGTAAATACAAATTTTAATCCGTGAATATGATAGAATAGACCTTTTCTGAGCATATTCACGGATTCAATTTTATATTTACTTCTTAGTAAAGAAGTTTATACATTTTATAAAATACAAACGTTTGATGACTTTAGATTTTATGCACCATATGCAAATTGCTGATTTTTAACTTACTGGAGCGAATATAAAAAAATCTAATCAAGAATTCATAGTACTCACACCAGATATTTATAGTTTTGGGATGATTATGTATGAGATTATAGCAGGTGAATGACCATTCAGTGAGTGAAGTCATATAATTACCTTGCAATTGATATCTATAAAGGAGTATAACATGCAAAATACTGTTCATGGATAGTGCAATTTAATTATTGAAAATTTTGGGCTCCTATTCCAGAAAACAGACAAATTGCTAAAGAACTTTACAGCTTTATCTTCTCTGTCGAATATATCAATAAAGAGTGAAAACTGAATACTTTGCATTACTTTGCATTTTCAGTACTAAAGCTCCTTAGAATATCCTAAAACATGTGAAGAATTAATGAGTGTCTTAAACTAGAAATTAGATGAACTTGATGAAGAGATAAAACTACAAAAAACTATTCTTACAAAAAATGTACCCATATGCAGGTTAACAATTTAATATAGTGCTCGTCAGAAGTAACCTACCCCATAACCCGGCTAAAAGGTTAAGATAGAACCTTTTTTTTTATTAGAATGTTTACAATATTCTAATCATTAATACATTGTATAATTAATCACTTCAAATTCAATTAATATTTCAATCTGACTTCTCATGCTATAGACAAGATTCGCAGCAAGATTATCAGGTAAGTGATTCCGTTCTGTTGTTAATTGTATCTTTAATCCAGTAAAAGTTCTAATATTTTTTTGCTATATTAATTTTCGTCAATTTCTCAATTGGATTTTTGTCAGGTGACATTGACAGCCATGGAAGAACTTTGATATTGTTTTTCTTATTCCAACAATCTGCCAATTTCAAATGGTGTTTCGGGTCATTATCCTCTTGCAAAACCATCATTCAGAATCATCCCCAAAAAGAAACTCAACAGATAGGAGAAGACCGTATTTGTATACCATAACCATAAATTTGGCATGGAGATTTTGCTGAAAATAGACTAACAAATCTAAAGCAGAAAAACAATCCTCACACATTGATTTTTAATGGATGCTTCACAAACTGGAATATTTTTATTCATCAAGAAAATGACCAGATCTTAAATAATGACTGGCTTAGACAAAATGTGCTTTTATTTGAAAATATAACCTTATACAGTCAAAATATTTTGCTCATTCCAATTATTTTTCTTTATGAACATTGATAAGTAGAGGTTTAGAAAGTTTTACCATTTATTTTTCTTCATCTTCATATAAACGTCTGAATAGTTTTCAAACTAACATTGATATTTTGCTTTTTCATTTTCCATTATATCAGTGGCAGTTGCATTAGTTTGCTTCTGTTCAAGCTCTATAATCTTTTTGTGTTGCTTCGAAGTTGTGTATCGATTTTCTGCCAAATTACTTCGGTTCTTTGTTTTTTGCCAAATAAATCATCATGGGCTTATTACAGTGAACGTGTTTAGTTGTAGCTTCAAGTTCAAGCTTCAGATCTTTTGAAATGTGTGTGTAAAAAATGATTTCATATTATTTGTGAATAAGATGTAAATGATCAGTGTTTGCGTTGTCCTTTGTGCTCAGAAAATTTTGGTACATAATATATTATTTATGAAAGTTATGGGAATAGGTTAATTCTGATGAGCCGTATTTCTTTTGCATTTTGTGTGCATATATCGCGGGATCATTTCTTATCAGAAGATTAACGAATAATGGACCAGGCAATGGACTTTCTCGTATAAAATATTTGTAATAGGATCTGGCGATGTAAGTTATAAAAAGGGTTGTTAAAGCTAAAAGCAAGTTTTTGCTGAAAGAATTGGTAATACTGTCTTCAAGAATTGACATGTTTTTTAATGTTTTTAATGTTATAAGAAACCACTTTGAATTGATGTCATATAAGAACTGATATTCATTATTTTGCGATTACATATATATGTATGTAACGGTAAGGTTTGTGCTATTGCATAAACGATAGGTTTTCATTTGCAGTATTGTTCGAGTAAAGTAGAAAATTCAAGTTACCTGACGAGTGAGTGTTTTAGCCATTTAATCTTATTGAAAATAGAATGTGAAATAATTTTTCAATGATAGGACTAATTACAAAGCCATTTAAATACGACAAGCAATTGATGAAATTTGTTTAAATATCTGTTATATGTGGAATTAATTACAAATTTCAGTTCTCTAGTCTCTGTTCAAGAAAAAGGACAAAAGAAAGGAAGCATGTACGTACTTTAACTTATTTCATTCCGCAATGAGGTTATCACAATGTACAGGATCACGCACATAAAAATGTTTATCCAATACACTATTGTTAATACTGAACTAGTCTATATAATTACACCCGATGCCTTTGGTGAACTTATATTTCTTATGGAGTTCAAAGGATCTTCGATTTTTACAGTTGGTCCTGGGTATTGCGATTTTTACCTTCCTCGAGCTTATTTACTGCGGACCCGCTTATTCACGATTATAATAGAGTTGATTACCAGGTTGAAGTCGGGAATTCCATTGATCAAGTTCAACTTCTCAACTTGCTGATTTGCATGAAAAAGGTTTATTTAACTATCATCCTTAGGTTAATACTTACTTGAACGAAAATTATATGGTATGCCTTGTGATTATTCTTCACAATGATTTCAAGAAGACAAGATTGCGACTCTTTGGCAATCGTCCATTATTATTTGGAAGGCTCGTCAAAATTTTCTGACTTGGAGAAACATGGAATTCTGAAGCTTAAATATAAATCTGTTGAGGAATTTCATTTAGCTCTTCGACAAGCATTTCACCAATAGCTAATCAGGACAGTGAGAAGTTTGAAGTTTCGAAAGAAACCCAAGACTCAGCAATGGAAATCCAAAATTGGTTTCGCCAAATTCACAATTATCCTCAGACCAAAGAGTCGTCCACCAAAATTCAAGTCTGGTTCCGTCGTACTCTCCAACGATAAAAATCTCGTCAACATAGGTATGACCCAACTTTAGAGTAGGTTTTCAAAAACATGGCAATTTTTTACAAGAATGAACTCACTGGAAGGTTGCTGTAAAGGAAAGGGAAAGAAACAGTGAACGAATACTATGTTCTATTGAGAGGTCTGATCCGACTAAAATGCAAGAGAAAATGAATGCTATACTAGAAAGAGCAAATTGCAAAAGGCAAATTTGGATGACCAAAAATTGAAAAATGTTTGGAGTTACTGGATGACTTAATGTTTGTTTTCTATTTGTATATTTCGTTCCTTTAACTTTAAACTAATTTTATTTTTTCAGATACATCCACAATGAAAATGTTATGATGGTGCTAGATTCGCTAGACAAAACATCAAGAAGCAAACATCGAGGGATTGAAAAACGAATCGCAAATAGCAGATGATTTCTTAAGTGAGGCTTACCATTGGATTACTGAATGTCACGATGCCATGAAAAAATGAAATTCATTATTTAGTTTCAGCAAATTATTTGTGCTCAGGTCTAGGCATAAGCTACAGCTCCAGCAGAAAGTAATGGCGGTTGGTTTTTATAAAAATTGAACAATTTTGCTCAATAAAATCTAATGCAAATTTTAAGCAGAACATTTTTTCTTAATAGATAGAGATTTTAGCAGTTAATTCTAATCAATATTTATTATAGTCATTAAGTCATTACATGGTTTTTTTTGCTGCTATAATACATAATTGATAAATGAAATATATAAAATCTAACATGGTTCATGATCCAAAATTTTTTGCAGATATATTATTACTGCTATAAAATCGATCCTTCTTAAATTTAATAATAAATGGAACTTTTATAAAAAGAATTTGAAGCTTCATATAGCAAAATCGTCAAATTTTGACATACTGATGAATATCATACCTTTGACGAAAGAAAATAACATTAATTCCTTTCCTTAACAAAATGTCTAGTTTTGAAATTTGAAAATTGATACTGCTACGTACGTATTGTGTACAGTAATATCGATATGTATTATTTTAAATGTTTTGAAAACTACACCTAGATTTGAAATTTCTTATTAAAAGAAAAAAAATTGGACAGATACAACTGCATTATTTAATTAGATTAGTCGAATTTATGGCAAAAATTAACAAAGCTGCATACCGATACTGAATAAATCACAATACTAAATGAATTATTATTTATTCAATATTGGTAATAACAAACGGAATTGATAAATGCGACGAAGAGATGGACTAGCTTGCTAATATTTATTTCAACGGATTGCTTGACCAGAAAAAAATTGTGGTGAAGTCTTTGTTAATATTAAGCGATGTTTGAGCGGAAAATTCATTATTTTTTGTGCATACTACGTAGTTCTACGTAATTTTATTTATATATTTCGGTAGATTTTCCGAAACATAGAATATTTCAATCTTTAGTTTTATTTGTATGAGCAATTTCGACTATATCATTTAAATTAAAAAAAATTAAATACTTTATAATAAAAAAAACTTAATATCACCTACCTACCAAAATTACACGTAATGTGTTTAATTTTTTCGTTTTTAGTACCACAAGCTTCATTTTAACGTCCATGGTATTGGCAATTGGCAAAGATAGACAGAAATATTTATGCTTTAACACGTGTAATATATGATTTTTCTTTATGTACATGTATTATATTATAATATACCCCCCTTTTATTCGACCCCCTTTACACAAGACCTCCAATATCGAATACTTATTGTATCCTCTTGGGTCTAAATCAATTTTTTAAGGGTAGAATGTAAGAGACCCCGGATGGTTTCCATGATGTTTTATGGTAATAAAAGAATGTACAAAAAATTAGCAAATACGAGTGGGATTATACAGACAAATACGGATATACTAGAACAGACAGGAAAAACCGGTAGATATTCGAAAAAACGAAAGGCTCGTCGGGTTCTTTGTAGCCGAAATCTCAAATATAAAAAGGTACCAGAAACGGTCCACAATGAAACAAATTACCATTGCCTACAATAACACAACAAAAAGACTCTTCTCTTTCGACCAAAAACAAAACAAGAAAACCGGTGTCATTGAACTATTATAACATATAGCAATTCGTAAAGGAAACGGAATAGAAAAAATCGACAACATAATCGAATATTTTATGAGAAGCTACAAGAAAACTGCGAAATAGAAATCAAATACGACGAAGAATTCGTAAAATCAACAATAACGAAACTGATTTTACACGAGTACCCGTCCTAAAACATATTACGATTCAGATTAATGGTTTTAGAGTTCAACCATTGGGGCCAGTAAAATTTTACAATAAAATTAACAGAATTGAACTAGGATTGGAACAGGAAAAAACGGAAACAAAAAAGATATCTGAAATTAGATATTCCTATGGAATCAAAAATCAAACAGTAATCTCTTATAACAACAGAAAGTTCTCAGCTGTGATAATGACAACATCAAAGTACATCTTCGAAATATAAGGGGGTTTATTATCTGAAAAAAGGAAAAATACCGAAGAAAACTCTGGGAACAGAATTCTTTGGAAAAACCTCGTTGAATAACGGTATCTGTAGAATATATCTGTCTTCCTGCAGCTCCAAGCGAACTATATAGGAAAAATTACTTTGAAAACAAATGAATGTTATACAAATCGTATCTCATTGCACAACAATAACAAAAATCCCCATTTGTAACGGAAATAACTTCTATTATAACGAAATAGAAGTCGAAATATATCAAACAACCACAGTTTGCCATATAAAAAATAAAATATTGATTGTTGAAAAAATACTCTCTGAACAAACAGACCGGTTATCAGAAAATTATTGCACACCGGGAATATATTCGGAAGAAATCTCTCTCCGAGACCAGGTGCCAACTTTTCACGTAAACAGGCAAATTACTACGTCAATAATCCTTGAGGGAGGATTGAGGTTGGAAAGAGTATCATCTGGAATTGCTGCAGGATTATCTTAAAAGTCCCGGAATAAAAGTCTCCCTTTACGACGAGCTAGTTGATGAATGGTCTCTTGAAAATTTTTATAGGAACCCAGATCGATATTGCCCAGTCAAGAAACAGATAAATATTCGATGAACAATGTCAACGATCGAACCTATCAATCTACTGAAAGTGGAAAAACATTCTCTACGGCAAACGGGCTTATGGATAAACGGTTTCTAACAATATAAAAAATAAGAAATTCCTAAAAAGTAAAAATGAATTGGCGCACCAACGACTGCAAGGGCGAAAAACGGAAGGGAAAGGGAGGGTAACTCTTGAGTATGTGGAAAAGATTAGTCTCGCATACGAACAAATGATAACAGGGATCTACACAAAATCAAAAATCTATGAGTAGCCAACGATGGGACTTTGAATCAATAATGCAAAAAATAATCGATATTTTTGGAAGAAAAAATTGTTCAAAAAAAGAAAGTTATGTTTGTCCTATATGATGAAAAAAGTGTATGGTTGTCTAAAAGATATAAAAACCTCCTCGTCATGCCATCACTTTACCAGGCCCCGGGGGAAAGGATGAGAAAAGAGACCTCAAATCACTGTATGCATGTAAAGAGAAACAACCGAGGAAACAAACATTAAGACCGAACCAACTTTCTTATTGAATGACCAACAATTTAACTGCGACGTCTTTTTTAATTGAAACAGACCAACAACCGCAGAGAACAGAAAAAGATAAAATGGGTGAATGGTATTGAAGGGTTTGCAAGATTAAAAGAATTGACCTCTACACTTGTCAATAAAGAAAAAGAATCGTTTCGGCAATTAATGAAAGATTAGTGCTCCAACCGGGTTGGGTCCAATCCGTGACCGACCCGGAACGCACATTTCGGGTCGGGGGTCAAACCCGACCCGAAATATTTCGGGACAGCCTAAAATCGTTATTTCTCGTTCAATATTGATTGAAATTAAACGAACATTTGTAGATATATACATAATTACATTCCGAACAACTCTACTTAAGACCAAAATACAAATGCCTTAGTAAAAATAAAAGTTATTAACGAAAAACTATTTTACGATTTTCGGGTCAAACCCGAACAGAGCTTTATGAAAGATTACTAGAAAAAAGAAAATAATACTTCCATATATATCCAAATTTTTATCCTTCCATATACGTATATATATATATATCCAAATTTGTACCCTTCAAAACAGATAGAACTGAAAAATATGAAAGAGAAAAAATAACCACCCTCTTGAAGGAAGAAAACTTTAAGTATTTAATACCAATAAAGAATAAATACTTTTTGACCTTAATAAAAAATCATAACTTTTTAATTTGATAAAAAGTAATCGTGCTTGCACTTTGAAAAAATTATCTATAACACGAGAAGATACCGATAAAGTTAATTATCATTTAATATTAAAACTATAAAATTGTTCTAACAGTAGCGAAAACTGGAAGCTCTATAACAAACTGTATTTGTTACTCATAACTTTCTTAATAGCTGAATTACTAGCACTAGCGCTCACAGTAAAGTTCCTTCGAAATAAACAAATAATTATTAAACATATTAAACACATTAAGAAAGAACGAGTACCATATCGCGCTGTTTATAATAAACAGAAGGGAAGCCAAAATAGATGAGCTTCGTTACAGTACCTGTAGTCACAATTACACAAAATCGGTTATCAGCGCAACGATAGCAGTAACAAGAACATTTAATAACACTGTTACAGAAACATCACCTAGTGGTGTTGTTAGAATCACAATCCAATCTTTCGTAATAACTATTCTAGTTGTCATTTTATTATTTATTACTGCCATATTCTGTGCGTACCGAACAGGGAAAAAACCACCGAAATATACTTTCGATCGATGGGTATGTCGTTAATACCTGTACCAAATATAATATCTTTACATTCGTCATCACCACTACCCGACAAACTATAACCTCATCAATTGTAACTTCGAACGGTTGGATAGCCTTACGATAAAGGAAGATTATCAAAAAAAACTCAGTGATGGTAAATGAATTTAAATGACCAAAATGACTCAGATGACAAATGATCAATGACTAACTAGTCATTTCAAAAAGTCAAGTGATCTCACAATCTTCTTTTATCCAATAAAATTAAAATTAAACTTTCTGACGTCATTATAAAAATGACTCACTGAAACTCTATTAGCTGAAAAATAAATCACATGACAAATGACCTAAATGACCTAATGACTAATGACCTAGGTCATTTCGATGTCATTTGAGGTCATTTACCATCACTGAAGAAAACTGGGGGTCACATTCGTAAGTTATTAATCTTAAGAAACCAAGAAGAAAAAGCACTCTCCATTTGCAAGAAAAATGGCTGGAGTATAGAAAAAATTTATGAGCCTTGCTTAGCGAAAGTAAAGATATCGACAGTCTAATAAAAGAATTGAAAAACTTAACTATTTTGAATATCTTGCAATTTAATTTAATGAGTGTAAAATATAGTTATCATTTTCTTTTTTTCACATTTGCATTAGCGTTAGGTTGAATATAATTCACAATGAGGGATTTAACACTTGTATTGTATTAGTCAAGAGGTGTTACATGGGAGGCAGCAAGTGAACAATCACTTTGTGAACGAAGGCATGATATATATATCTTGTATACGACATTTATAAAGGAGTACGACCTAAGATACTAATTACTGATATTACGAATACAACTATCTTGTTAGTATTTATTTCAACGGATTGAGACCGAACTTAGGAATTATAGTATTTACAGTTCCGGCGGAAAGTAATGGCGGGAAATTTTCGTCATATAATTAACCTCCTTGGTCGGCACGAAAGAATTTATGGTCTTTGATTCGAGGTGTGTCTGTAGTGTACATATTGTTTCAGAGCTGTGATACATATCTTTATTTGGAACGATAACGATAGTGATAGGTCGATTATTGCAATCACGCAAAATTTTATGTTAACGATGGTAACTTATTGGTGATTGTTGAAAATTCATTCGATGACAGGAAAAAAGCTTTTTTATAGTTAAAAATCAAGATTTAATTATCTTTCACACTCGTTTTTGCCTCTCAAATTAATGAACCTTTATATTTTAATGACTATTTAATCCAAGCTTTTAACTGAAACCAAAATAGAAGACTATCACTAACGCTAATAATTTTAGATATTGTTAGCGCTAGCCTTTAATTAATTTCATGTATAATTGAGAATAATTACTTTAATAGCATTGTATTTTTCGGAATATTGTACTTGGCTCTTATTCACCAACACTGAATTTATCTTCTTTATTTAATATTATATTATACATGTACTATTTGTGTATATAAGAGAGAATTTGAGATACTGTAAATATAGTAATATTCAAACAAATTATTTATTTTTGCTTTATACCCTTATAAACACACCTCTTGGCAGCCATTGATGGTGTGACTATAGGCTACCCTGTCTATAAACACCTGTATAATTCCTCACTAAATGCGTGACTATTAAACAACTAGATAAATCCATTTCTCCACGTTTAAATCAAAATTTATTATGAGTAACTAATACATGTACGTATATGTAATTTTTGATCAACTCACAGATTAAACATTTCCATTATTTTGAATACCACACAAAAGCTTTTTTACTACGAGAAAATATCGATATACGTATTTTTTTGTTTACAGTACATATTCAAAATGCTTTTGAAATATCTATATGACGTTACTCTTATGAATCTATTCAATTATGCTACATGTTTATGTATACAGTATATATAATTTTGTATGTATAGTTCTATGATAAATGCAAGGTGATGAAGAAATGCAAATTGATGAGTAAATGCAAAAAATGAGAATTATGTTTTTGAAGAATACAAAATGAAAATATGCTAAAAAAATGAAGGATATGCAATCGGAGAATATGCAACATGAAAAATATGCTTATGGATGTGTGTCAATCTATCGTTATGCTACTTTGGAGGAAAGTGTCTGTCCACAATTAAGAGCCTTAGAGATTATATAACTATATTCTCCAAGCTTCACGGGAAAAGTTTGTTTAATTATCGCAATTATCATTGGAGCACTTCATATCCAACCACGTCTTCAAATAATTTCTCGCGTTCAATCTCGTTTGTTTTAAGGAGTCCCAATCAACAGACGTGGGAGTTTTCAAATCAGTCACATGTGCACCACCTTTAACCACTAAAATTGGTGTGTCTTGAGTACTTTCTCGGTTTGCATCGTCGCTACTGACTGTTAACGGGAACCACGGATCACCATCGTTGTTCACGTACACTACACGAGAGATTATTGTGTTGGTTGAGCCGTAGATTTTGTTTGTGCGATCGACATTAGGTGATTTGTTTGGAATGTCGGGCCAGAGAAAATTGCATTGGCTTTGATAGTAATCGACATCAATTAGTTTTGAGCGTAAGCGAAGGGAAGGTGGTTTGGGTGCTGTTTGATAATATCCAAATTCATTACAGTACTATTAAAAAAAACAATAATGACAAAAATATTAGAAGTCCGACTAATACATATACAAATAATAATGAAAACAATTACCTGCCACAACCAAGCAATTTTATCCTGATCTTCGCCTAAATTGTTGGACAATTCTTATGTAGCATATACTTTAAGAATCTTATTTGTACTTGTATATCCCTTTATTTGCAAGAACTGCTTCATCCCCTCAGCATAAGTAGCAGTCAACCCTTTCGGTGATTGATCAGGCGAATTAGTAGCTACATCGCAAAACATTTTAATCGAATCTTGTTGACTAGACGAAGTAGGTGATTGCACCATTGAAATAAACGGATCATTCAAAGCCGACGCAAAATCTTTGTCGTCTTCAATCGTGCCCAATCCAAATTGGTCCTTTAGGTCGTCGATTGCGCTTCGATTTCCCGAGGTCAATATTGCATCGATGTACTCGATAGATTTGCCGACGAGATCACGGCATTGGATTCTATTGGCGATTGCTTGATCATATTTGAAAAAGTTTAGTTCTGCTTTTACAGGTGCTGAGGAGGCATACGCTGCAAATATGAGTTTTGGATATTTACTACGAAACCATGCTGCTAAGTTGCCGGCATATGAACCGCCAACTGAGATCCATTTTGAGTTTTTGGAGATTGTATTTAATGGTGATAATGATGAAGATGGAGCATTGCTGACAAAGTTTGCTAAGTCTCGCAATGCTTGATCAGTGTTTAGGAATTTTAGGTTTTCGGATTTCATGTTAGGAATGTCGGGAATGCTTTCACCGTAGTATCTATGTTCGACTACAACTAAGAGACCATTTAAGCTTGCGGCTAATTCACTTGCTCCGCTGTATTCCACTGTAGATGTCTTAACTGCACTTTCGCCACCAATGTAAACTAAAATCAGAAATTTGTGATCAATCACTAAAATAGACACTAAATGCTAAAAAAAAAACATGGAAGATGATAAGACATACGAAAAACTGGACCGCCTGACTTATAGAAAGTCGAATTAACAAAGTACCGTTGTTTTAATTGACCTTGATTCTTGTTATAATGATCAATCGGTTGTATGAAATAATATGATTCCGATGTAGAATCTCTGGTTTCTATTGTTTTTGGTTTTAGTTGTTGCTCCGAAAATTTTTGGATATTTTTGGATATTCTAGTAAAGAACGATAAAGAAATGAATTTTTTTGATTTCGAATTTTGATATTAAAAGAAAAATTAGCAATTTATGTCTTTACCCAAATTTATTTATATCAAATCTTTTGAATGGCAACGCTTCCAATATACTCAATAACTGAGTCATCAATAACAAGAAAATTAATATATTGCGATTGCAATATTTAGCAGACGATGACACTAGCATTTTTGATTGATTTTGTTCTCTTTGGATTGAAATTATTTAGTTTGTGAGATATGTTTTAGTCTATAAAACATTGACATTCGATACTACGTAGTAGTGTGTAGCAGAAAATAAAATAAAAATATGGTTATAGTGTAACGAAAAGGGTTGGAGTAAAGGTTTTTTCTGGAGAGATTTGGTCAGTTTAAATGAAAAGAAATCAATGGATGCTATTTTATTTTTTCTTTATTCTTTAAATTGCATTATTCTCTAAAATCATCCGGTTAATAACAATCATCAGATCGTTTTAACTGTGTAAAGAAAGGAAAAAATCAACAAACACAAAGACATTTAAGTATTATTTGTGGATGTATTTTTAAAGAACACAGCATACATGTATGTTATATAGTATGTATCCAACCAAAAAAAAATAATCATTACATGCATACGCATACATAGTAAAAAAAAAAGCACGACTACTTACGTATCGTTCAAATTGATCGATGTTTCGCATTTGTTTTTTGTTCCTTTTTACCTGTTTTAATCCGATATGCACACGTTTCATCTGCATGCATAATTTACACACATAAACAATGAGATAGCCTAAAGTGGTAATATCTAATCCAATTTATAACCGTGTCTTTCAAGTGCACCCCCTTGAAACCATATTAAAAAAGACAGTGTGCATTTAGAGAGAGAGTAAATAATTAGAGACCTTATAAGTTTGGGGCGTGCATTTAGGAAGAGTGTACAGTCATACTTCCATATAATCACACACTTTTAAGATATGATTGTATATAGTGCGTGTATTTATAAAGGGTGCACTTAGGAAG